TGTTATCTATTACCATTTTTAGAGAAACAAATTGTAACATGGCAACAAAATTTGACGCTTACATCTTCTATCATCAAAATGATATTGAAGTCCAACAAATATTACAAAGTTTAGGACAAGGGTTTCAGCGTACTCATTTTGCAGTATAAACATATAAATTTTGCAATATATATATATATATAAATCTATAGATTATTATACATCTCAATAGAATTACTTTATCGACAAGTTATATTTTTTGCCTTAGCGTTGACAATTTTACTCTACTGTGCGGTAAAGGTACAAGTACATGTAAAATCTTGAGAGTTGCTTACAGTCTTGAGAATAGTATGATTTACTTTATTATGAGATAATAATTATTTAAATGGATTTACTTTAAATAAGATAAAAGATACATTACAATTGTAATGTACTTTTCCTTACATCTTCGATATTTTTACTTTCAAAAATTGCCAGAATATTTTTTATAGTCTTGTAAGATAAAAATTATTTTACCTCAACAATTTTTCTCCGTGATTATTCGTACAGATTGTTATTTTAATCCCACTCGTGTTGTATAATATTCCAGAGCACGGATCGTTACTGGTCCACCGAACCCTGTAGACTGGGATACAAGAGAGACGCAAGTACAGGCTACTGTGTGGACATAGACGAGTGTGTGGTCGGTCCCGGATGTAGGGATCATGAGAAATGCATGAATACTCCAGGGGGTTATGACTGTTCGCCCCTTTGCAGTACCGGCTGGTACTTTAGCACGACGACGAAGAGCTGTCAAGATGTGGACGAGTGTTTGTTAGGCGGGCACGATTGTCCTCAGAGTACGCATAGGTGTGTATCTTCAATTATGTATAGGACGCATCTCAAATCGAGTATTCTTTTTTCTATAATATCTAATTATGTAACGATTGGCGTATTTTTTTCTGACATTATTTTCCGACGATTAATAATCGAATTTACAAAAATTCGGGAATGTTGATCCGCAGATGCGTCAACACTAACGGATCCTTTGTTTGCGAGTTAATACCGCCCTGCAGTCGCGGCTATAGACGAGCCTTCAACGGCACCTGTCTTGATATCAACGAGTGCTCCGAGAACTTGCATAACTGTCGGCTCAACTTGCATCAGTATTGCGTAAATAAAGAAGGTGGCTTCGAGTGTTTGACCAGACTGCCCTCTTGCCCGTCTGGATATGAGTATTCTTTGGGCGCTCGACGATGCGAGGACATCGATGAGTGTCTAACCGGACAGTACAACTGTGACGCGAGATTTTCCGAGAGATGCGTCAACCTGCCGGGTACCTACAGGTGCGCGAAACTTTTTTTCTATTACAAAATCTATTAAATATTCTACTGGGAATTCTATATTAGGTAAATATAATGAAATAGGAGTTAAAAAATATTCAATGAGATATATATATCTTGCAGATGCGAGAGACCTCCTCCTCCTCGTCAACGCCAACGACCAGCTTGTCCTTCCGGCTATCGGTATCACCCTAGTTTACGCAGGTGTACAGGTACATATAACACTAGTTTACAAAAGAATGCTTTTTTTAATTACTTTGAATTAGATAAGGTATTTATAGATTTTTGGATGCTGAAAACGATGCAACAAGTTAAATTTTACTAGCGCGTTAGATTTCTGAAATAATTAATATGCAAAAAATGGTTTTTTTGCGTTATTTGACATTTTTTGTTGTAAAAAGAATTAACGTTCTTGAAGTTCTTATCAGAAGTCATGAATGTATTGTTCATCCCCTATAAAATGTATCTTTTTAAATTTCAACGTTGTTATGAAGAATCCAAATACAAAATTTTTTAGAGAAAGATCTTGTATTTGAATCCTTTAACGACTGAAAAATAAGATATTGAGATAAAAAGAAAATGCATTATTTTATAGGGAACAATATATTCATGACTATTAATCGGAATTTCAAGATAATGTTAACCTTCTTTTCAAAAATATATCAAATATCATCGTCAAATTATTAAAAAAGCCATTTTTTTTACATTAAACCTCAATTATCTTGGAAACCTGATGGAACCTGCTGGAATTTTGTGGATTACGTCATCGTTTTCAGCATTAAAAAATCTATAAGAAATATCTAGTCTGGTTTGCAATAATTTTCTAAACTATAGTGTAATTTTTATAGTTTTATCTTAAAAATTAATGAGTTGTTTTTATAAATTGTAGAAATATCAAATATTTGTATTTTTTGCTGTTTTATATTCTTTTCTATTTTTTCAAATTACATCTAATTCTATCCTTTTTAATTTACAGCATAAACTGTTCTATTCTTTTTAATGTATAGCATAAATTGTATTAACAACGATTTCAGATATTTTTCGTATTTTCAGAACTCGTCGAAATGATATAGAACTTATCAAGCTCAGATTGAATTATTGACTCATGTTCGATAAGTTCTTTGCGAATGCACGGGTAAATTATATTATTCCTATTGCCTTTCGACACACGCACGATTAATCACAGATGTCATTTACGATTGTTTGCATCGCAAATTGATACACAGTTTTTATTGCATCGAAATACGTTCGTGTTTTATATGTCGTCCTACATTATTTCAGTTGCTTTCAACAATGCTTTTAACAGAGGTATAATTTTGGAAGCTTAAGTGTCAGAGTATGTTTTGCAAGAAAATAATAATGCTTTCCTACTTGATCATATAATTGTCTTAATGCTTTAATTAAAAAAAAAACCGACTACTCTTTAATTCAGAGAAAAAAATATTTATGAGTTTTGCCATACAAAGTACTTTGTTTGAAATTATAGACATTGATGAATGTGCGGAAAAGTTGGACACATGCGGGGACAAGCTCTGCTACAATCAACCAGGTGGTTACAGTTGTTCAATGCCACCTGTTCCAATGACCAGAAAACCGACTACGACACCGATGCCGGCTCCAATGAACGAAAAGTGTATACGCGGCACCAGATTCGTGAGGAATCGCGGCTGCGTCGATGTCAACGAATGCAGAGAGTTGGAGGATGCTTGCAGCAGCAACGAGGAGTGCGTCAACACCGTAGGCAGCTATACGTGCACCTGTAAGACCGGTTTCAGGCGTGATAATCTCACGCAAGCCTGCGTCGATATCAACGAGTGTCAGTTACAGGTAACGACAAGGATAACGATGACGGGACTCTTCGACATTCGCGTAATGCTTATCACGCGCGATCTGACATTTATGGCGTTAATTTAAAAAATAAGATATACAAAAATATTGTGACATCTCGTACGTCGAGCCGATGAAGATTGAGGGTGCTTTTCAGCAAGGACACAGTGTAATACAGTGAATCGTTCTTGTTTAACGTAGACAAACAACAAGGATGTAATGATTCACTGTGTTACACTGACTGTGTCCTTGCTGGAAAACACCCTAAAGTTGCAATCCAACTTACGCTCTTGGAATCATTTCATCCTTGCTGTTTGTCAAACAAATAATAATGATACTCAGCTTTTGTGTGTGTGGGTGTGGGCATAAATCGGACAGCCTAAAGCACAACCTAAGCGTGTAAAGTCTACGTTGTCTCATCTCGGAACTTCTCGCCGTCGATTTTAATATTTTCCATTGAAGGAGAACGACTGTCTGCCGACGCAGCGATGTGACAACACGATCGGCAGCTATACGTGTACGCGATTTTTGCCTTGCGGTACCGGCTATACCCTTAATGCCGCGACGGAGATCTGCGAAGACGACGACGAGTGTGTTCTGGGCACTCACGACTGCGGGTCTGGATACCAGTGTAGAAACACCCTGGGCTCGTACCGTTGCGATCGCACACCGCGTATACCGACTCCGCAATCGCGGACGTCGCCAATGACGACGGCAAGGATCACGATGATTACGACGACGACACCGACGTCGTTGACTCCGACAACTAGTCCTTTAGCGAACTGTCCGCTCGGCTTCGAGCTCGGTTCTGGCGGCAAGTGCATGGATATAGATGAGTGCCAAAGAACGCCAAATCTCTGCGCCACAAAAATGTGCATCAACACTCTAGGATCTTATAGGTTCGCAATCGTAAAATTGTTAATACACGGAAAGAGTAATCTTGCTCAAGTATCCAAAAAGTTAGCTAGATACAGATCTGAAAATAATTATGTTGGAAAATCATCATCAAAATAATTATGTAGGACGCCACAAAGTTTTGATTTTCTAGTAATCATCTTGAAGGTCTAATATAATTATTTTGATGGTCTAACAAAATTATTTTTAAGTCTGCATCTAGCTAAACTTTTAGATAATTCGGCAAAAACTATTCTTTTCGTATATAGATAAAAGAAACGATACAGATTAGACGAGGGGAAATTTTGTAGATGCGGATCCAGACTGATCTGCGGACCCGGTTTCACCCTGGACCCGGTGACCGGACAGTATTGCATCGACGTAGACGAATGTCGGGAGGGAACGCACGAGTGCGGCAAGGGCCAAATCTGTGAGAATCGACGAGGCGGGTATCATTGCATCTGTCCGCCTGGTCACGCACTTGGTCCCAATAACGATTGCGTTGACATCGACGAATGTAGTTACGCTATTGGTATTTGTGGACCAAACAGCCGCTGTGAGAACACCGTTGGCTCCTATAGATGTCTATGTGGGGAAGGTTTCGAAAACGTTGGAGAAGCTTCCGGTAACTGTCAAGTGAGTCACATCATACAGTTCGAATAGATTATAACAATTAATTATACTCTGGAATGGTCTTGTCTCGAAATTTAATCGCGATTGCTTCCAGGATATCGACGAGTGTCAGCGAACACCGGGACTCTGTCAACACATGTGTTTCAACGTGTGGGGCAGTTATCGATGTGGATGCCAAGCTGGATTCAGACTAAATGCCGACAATCGTTCTTGCAGCGACATTGACGAGTGCACGGAGTTCAAGGACAGCCATCTCTGCATCGGCATCTGCGAGAATACGCCGGGAAGCTATGCGTGCAAATGTCCTGAAGGATATAGGCTCGGTAACGACGGTCGAACGTGTCAAGGTAACAATTTTTAGATTTCTACGTATACAGAAAAGCAATTGTACGGAAAAAATAATTAAATGAAGATACTGCGAATAATTAAATTAAACTGATACTTTATGTCAAGAAAAAAAAACGTAATTATGATTCAAAGACTGACATTATACGTTTGTGAATCAATGCGTTCGTACGAATCAATGGGATGAAAAGTGAGAGCTCGTTTACGTGAGTCATGGTGTCGTAGCTTCGTGAGCATTCCACCTACTTATCTCGCAGTTAAAACAACGATGCAATTTGTACTTGACCCATTTGCCGGCGAACTGGAGCATCAGCTCGGGTCACCGGTACACACGAATGTTCCTGCAATCTCCTCGATCTCGCGCAATCACGGCATCGTTAGCGGTCACGATATCGCTACGTACTGTAACATATTTAATTGTTTTCTACGTGTGTTCACAGACATTGATGAGTGTGAGGCAGGTCAAGTATGTAGGGATGCGGAAGAGATGTGCCAGAACACGCGCGGAAGTTTCCAATGTAATCGGATAAACTGCCCTTCAGGGTACCATCGGGACCCCATGAGAAAAAAGTAAATACTTGGACTTGATGGAGATAATATATTTTATTTTTTCTAACTTCAATTCTCGGCATATGTCATATCTGTGATATATATTTATTTGAATTAATTTTGAACATACATAATTATTTAATCGACTTGTGATGATAAATCCGTAAAGGAGAATGTTAAAAAGGGATCGATTTTGAAAGATTTTGATCTCCTGAATACAATAAAGTTATTAAAAAGTTTGTGACGTTTGGATAACAACTCGAAAATTAAACAAGAATATTGAATTTTGATAAATACACCATTCGTGCTCAACTTTTGAAATATTTCTCAAACGCTACAAAATTTTTAATCATTTTTCATATCTGGGAGGTCAAAATTTGAAAAAAAAAAAGATAAAAAAAAGAACACTATTCCTTCTACTTACACCTTTTTAGGCCAAAGTCGGTTCCTTTTTAACATCTTCCTTTCCCATTCGCAATTTTAGCCGCTGTGTACGCTCCTCGAGATTTTGCCGCATGGACGACCTGGCTTGCCTTCGGTCGCCCTCGCATTATTCCTACAACTTTATTACCTTCGTGAGCATGCTGCCCATGCCGTCTACTGGTCAACTGGAGCTGTTCACTATGAGGGGAAGTTATCAGTCCGAATCGACGGTACATTTCACCATGGCATTGGTAGACGTGCGCGCACCACCGGGTGTCGAACGTGCCACGGAGTCCTGCTTTGCCCTTAAGAGACCGGCGCCGTCACAGGCGGTCCTGGTGCTGACGCGCACGATTCCTGGACCGCAGGAGATCGAGCTGGATCTCACAATGGAAATCTACCAAGACGCTACGTTCGTCGGAAGTGCCATCGCCAAGATCTTCATTTTCGTCTCGCAATACGAATTCTAAGAAGACCTTTTGAACGAAGATAAAATGCAGATGAACGAAGATAGAAGTTAAGATCGTAAAATAAAGTGACGTAATTTAGAAGTACGCTTAATTGTCCGATTTACGTGATTGCATCTTCTTCCATAGCGTTACTGTATTATAAGAGCAACAAGCATTATATATTCAAATCTTGTTTTTTACGTTAAACAGTACATACATGCCGGCTCCTCCGGCTGGTCTCGAACATCCTGTATAAACTTCTCTTTTTCAAGAAATAAAATTCAATTGACATCTTAAGCAACATATGTTTAAGACTAATAAAACGGATCTTTTTCATTTTCTGCTCATTTTTAAAACTATAAGTATTAAAAATAAATATACACGAGTTAGCATTTGGATCGTATTAGACATGTAAAAAGACGAATTAAATGTATATAGATTTCTGTAAGTTAACACACATAAGGGATATAACATAAAATAAACTTATGTTAGATGATATACGAAATTTATAATAATTTCCAATCCACTTGATACTTTATAAAATCGTAGCTTTATTAAATGTTTCACTAGCGACACTCTCCTCCCTCTAATTTACACGGTCCGCTGTTCGTAATTGGAACAACGCCTATTGCTTTAAATCTAACTCTTCACTTCTCCTTCACAGAAGACGAATAAAGCAATAAATCTGAGATCCTTAGTGTTAATTGCCGCTTCGTTGCACGATACGCGCGTTAACGTATATAATGTTATATATATATATAACACAATATTATATATACATAAAAGACTGTAATAAAAAATATAATATAATATCACTGCGCGTTTTATATATGACGACAATCGTCGCGTTGGATGCGAATAACGAACGCTCACCCATGATGTAGCGAATTGCTATTATATATTATTAATAAGTGATTTAATAATTGTACTAAAGATAATTACGGTTGCTATCGCAATGACAACAATATCGTCGTTAGCGAACAATAGCGATAGCGTAAATCAGAATATAATCGTAATAAAATAATAATAATTATATAATCGTAATAACAATAATAATCTAAGTAGCTAGCGACAACTATAATAGCGGTATTAATGTACACACGATAACAGGAAATAGAACAATTCGGGCGGAACGCGTTGCGTGCGGCGCGCCGAGAAAATGCATACGATAGAATAGAATATATCGTGTCGCACAGAGAGAAATTTCTTCGGCACGATGCGTTGGTGATACATACACCTATACGTTACGCGATTATGTCATCGAAAAATCTCGTCGAGACATATGGCTCGAAACGCATCATCAATATAACATGTAGTAATATCTAGGACATGGCTGGTCTTTTGCGAGGTTTCACGGTGAGTCGTGGTTTGTGCCCATTTATATCAGCGTAGATTGACTTTAATCTCAGTTCGACTTACTCTTCATTTTTCTTTAATTTTTAAAATTAGAAAAAATGAAGAGTTAGTTGAACCAAAATTAAACTATACATTGTGTCAAAAACAGGCACTATTAATTGGTTCTATTATAGCGTGTGCTAATTCTTTTAGTAAGATGAGTGAGAATAAGGGCCATGGCACATAAAAAACTGAAACAGTCAAATGTAAGCAGTAGGCGAATTGGCCAATCACAGCAGAGACCGTAAGGCTGTAGCAAATCCAACATATTAATTTCTTTGTTTACGTTTTACTGTTTGCTGTGTGCCATGTCCTTGAGTGTCAACACCCGTAAAAATAGTAGCATGATTGTGTGTAACATCTGGAGGCGGTAGCTCCCATCATCTAGCCAAGAAAGCTCATCCGTGAAACTTGCACGTCTCTCCGCAGTCCTAGCTATAGCATACAACAAACTTCCAACAAACATACGCGTAAACACAACTAATAAATAGTACAACTATAAACGTAACAGCCTGGATACAGCGGCAACGCGTAACAACGATGGCAGTGACACTCGTCGCTCGTCCTTTGTTAGATTCTAGAAAAAATGGAAAAGGAGCGTTGACTAGGATTTGCTAGAAATTTACTGGGGGGGCTTCCTCTCCGTGCCCTTGCGCTGAGTAACGCGCGGCGAGATCTTGCCAGCCGGTTTTAAGTACTCGATGACAAACTGTGTGAAAAGAGATGCGTAGCGATATTTTTCTATGTATCTACAAACACGTGTCGCTATAACAAAAATAAACGTACGGAACTAAGAATCGAATAAAACTCGTCAAAAAGATTTCTATTTCTCTTTCGAATAACGTAAAATTTACTATTTATACGCATTTTGACAAATTTTTATTTTTATTTTTGCATACACGCGCTTATCACACGTTAGATTCTTCCCTTCCAGCATTCCACGATCTCATATTTCAGTATCGTAAGAGAAAATAATTTTTTAAACAAATTCAAAATAGTTAAAAAAATATTTCAAGAGAACGGAAAAAAATACGCGCAAGAACATTCATAGATTTTTTTTGTGTATTAAACTAATATTCTCTTGAAATATTCAACATTAAAAAAAATCTTTAACTTTTCACACATAATTTAGTTAGGCAACGCGGTGTCTTAACGAATCACGAAGTGGAGCTCGAATTTCGACAACAGCGTGCTTTCAGCAGAAAAAGAGTTTTTTTCACATGGAAAAATTCTTACTTCGAACGATACTACCCCTTGCACGCCACATAATCGCGAATATGTAATCAAACTATACATACTCGATTTACTCGATGAAACTAATCTACTGATGGATATCAATTTACTTACTCGATATATAGGCACTGAACTAGGGAGATCTGCGCCGTGAAAAATAAATATACTAACAGCTACCTGTTTAACGGAGGTAGTAGCAATGCAGTTGACACTCTCCTAGTTGTGACCATCTTACATTTTGTATAATGAAAAGTGTCACCGGATACATATTTCACAACTGGTTACGGCATTTATATCACATTAAACTCGATAATTTCCGTCGAACGATTTTCGCACGAGAATGAGAGATCAGCGTAAAAATGCTGCTGTGCGTAAAAATAGTGCATAGATAGCTCTTTCAAAATTTTAAGTGTATTCTGTTCTCACTCTCTAAAACTTTTGGAGTGAATCTCACTCTTAAAGATAAAAAGAAATTGAGCTCTTTTTCAAGATTGGCTCCATTTTCACTTTTTAGAGTGAGACTCCACTCCAAAAAGCTAACAGAACACGTAATGCTTTCGCGACATAATATTGATTTAAGAGGAACGATACAGCTATACCTACTTGGACTCACAAAACATCGTTATTGCGACGATGGCAGTCTGACAGATTACTTACTGATCTAACTAGTCTTCTCACGTGGGAAAATTAACATTTCTTCAGAGAAGACCTGCCGAAATGAGCCACGTGCTTACAGGCGATTACTTCTGGTTTTGTGAAAACAACGTGCAGATTTATAAACGGAATTTATCAACTCGCGGAAGCACTCGCATCACGCGGTCTTTCACAAGACACACCTTCTCGCGGACTTATACGCGTGACATTCTTATTTACGGCCTCCTCCCACCCCCGAGAAATGCTGCGCGTAACGGTATCTTAACGTACTCGCTTGGCCGTTATTTCCGTGTAACCCTTATCTTGAGAAAGAAAAAGGATACAAAAACGGATATTTTTGTATCTCTCACCGTGATAATATGAAAAAACTCATAAAAATTTGACCGTAGTAATTCATAATTATCTTTTTGTAGCTGAAGAACTTTATCACTGGCACTTAAATGCCACTTTACGGAAAAGAAAAAGTTGCTTGGGTAAGATCTAAAACAGGTATCTGAGAGATCTCGCTGCCAATTCGGTCGCCTGAGCGGTTCTTGAGGAAAGCACAGCGCGTGTCCCTCGAGAATCCGCCGGCGATCATCAGGCGGTCGTGTTATTGTCCAACTCGGCGAACTCGCGCGTCACCTTGCAGACGTAGTACAGACGTTCGTAGAGATCCGGGGTGCAGCCGAGGTCACGGAGGTCGTTCAGCCAATAGGAGGATGCGTGTCGGCCAGTGTCGATGTAAGTGATCAGATAGCCCCTTCCTCCCGCGGATTCCTGCGACACCACCATCTTCGTGTGGTCCACGAAGAAGTTCACTTGCAGGAGTGGTACCGTTAGCTCCATCACGATGGCCTTGTCCGTACGTAGCCACCGTCTCATTCGCGGCACGCAAGCGTTTTTCGACTGCCTCGGCGGCGCGCGGTATTTTTTTAGCTCACCACCTAAATGGCACACATTAACGTTTTCGCTTATTAACTTTAGGTCGCCATAATAGTGCAGTAAGCAAGAAATATTTCCAACATTTCAGTAATATTGTGCAGTAACGTTACAACGTTGTTGCAATGTTACTGTTAAAATGTTCCAAAACCTTCCAAAATGTTTTTTGCTTACTGAGCGGTACAAATAGGTCACATTCTCATGTTTCGCACTTGGAAGACAAAAGTATACAAGCCTCGTGAAAACGAGTTGCGTTACTTCCGTTTAAAGAAATGAAAGATCTGCTTGAATAATAAATTATGATATATACGCCGTATAAAAATAAAATATATCATCACCCTCACCTTCTGTTAAAAAGTCATCCATATATTCGGTAAAATGGCGGAGTAATTCGAGTTTCTTTTGCAGTGGTGCCGGCACATCCCTCTCTCGATGATATCGCGTCATCTCGTCGTCGGTGGTCATATATTCCACTCTTCTGTATTACAAATTTAATCAAATTAATTAATTAGTAAAAAATTACAATCTTATGAAAAAATTACATTATAAAGAATAACGCATCATTTCTCATTAATTTCTCTCGATATTCACCTTCTATCATGAGTGTAACTGATCTTCGTATTGTCGTTGAAGAGAACGCCAACCGACCTGTCGGAGAGTTGGAAGCCCAGCCCGTATTTGTTCGAATAATCGATCCATTTGGTGACGAAGAGCGGCACGATGTCCTCTACAGTTGGTGGATTGCACGCGTTATTCCGCTTCATCTCCGGTACGCACGCTTCTAGTGCGCGATGCATCTGCACGCTTTGCGCCACAAGGCCGGTTTTCTTGTGATCCGGACAGAGCACGCTGCTGAGCCGTTGCCGGAATCGCGGTAGTTTGGGTAATTTCCTCACGAGCCAGCTAGAGACCTTGGACTCCTTTTGCAGACTCTTCTGCGAGCGATTCAATAGATGTTGCTGGTGCTGCTGCGACTGCTGTTGCGCCTGCTGACTCGGAATCGTCTGTTGATAACGCAATGACGCGTCAGGATAAACGAGACTCTGCTGCCATATCTGAAATTTTATCAATTTCTTATGGATTTTTATAATATTTCAATAATATTATAAAAAAGTATCTTTTTTATCTTTTTTTAGGTCAAGCTGGATCTATTGTGCTTAAATAATTTGGTGTGAACTTATGTACTATATGTACATGTTCAATCCTGCAAACTGCGTGCCGAATTTAATTTTCAGTCTTGAAACGCAATCCTGACAGAATTACTAGAGTAACAATATCACAAATAAGATGTTAATAATTTGGCGAATTTCGTAAAGATCCGTCAGTTATATCCGTGAAAAATCTTTCAAATCGAATTATCAAGTTACTCACCTGTGCCTTAATTTCCGGATTCCTAGCGACCGTAGATACCGAGGATGGTGACGAGGGTGGCTCGATGATTGATGCCGGTGGCATTTGGTAGCAGCAAGTGTGAGGTAAAGATGCTGGCACGTATTCCTTGGTTAAATAGACGTGTTCCTTCACCCTCTCTAGACTCGGTCGTAATTCGGGATTAGATTGTAGCAACCACCTGATCAAGTCTTGGCCGCTTCTGCTCGCGATACTGTCGTCGACCTCACGGTAATGGTTGTTGCAGATCCTGGCGTAAGTCTCCTTAAGTGTGGCTGTATCGAAGGGTGGCTGCCCTACCAACAGGGCGTACAATATGCAGCCCAGCGCCCAAACATCCGCTTCGTAACTGTACGCTTGCTTGTACAACACTTCCGGAGCGATGTAGTTTGGCGTGCCGCATATCGTCCTGTGGATACAAATTGGCTATGTGCTACGACGTTTTGTTGATGCCGCTAGTTGCTTGTGTTTAGATAAGCACAATCGTCTTAGGGCTCCGGAAAAGGGACCTCCGGTATTTGTATGTTTTGTCGAGGAGAGTCGTTAAGACACCGATACAAAAATAATTATAACAAAAAAGAGTTTGCGAGACATCCAATTATTTTCAACTAAATCTATATCATGTGCTTTTTGCTTTCAATTTTTATAAACTTTGTAATATATTTATAAGTTAAATAACAAAATGAATTAAGTAACAAACAATTATAATACAAAAATGGAAAGACGACAAGAATACCGATAAGAAAACTTTTTACGCTCAAAGCAAATCTTAGTGCTTAAATATTTCGCGCGGTGAATTTATATACGTATTCAATTCTACAAACCGCGCGCCGAAATCTTTTCCGTCTTGAAACGTAATCATGAATAGAATTAGAGTAGTAACATCATATATTAAATTTAATAATATTAATGCTAATAAACATATTATAGTTATAAGAATATTATTATAATATAATTTGATGTTAAAGAATCTTAAATTGCGAATAATTTATCGTGAAAAATATTACCTCAAATATCATAATTAATAACAAGTAAAATGTTTCACGCAAAGGAAAAATATGTATTTCTTGAGTTGCAAATTAGCATTATTAATTGAGCCTTACACTCGTCTACGCTGACCGTCAGGCCTGGTCGCTAGTCCGAAGTCGCCGATCTTGACGATCATCCGGTCCGATAGGAACATGTTGCCGGGCTTCAGATCCCGGTGCACGACTTTCTGCGAGTGGATGTACGCGACGCCGGTCACCATTTGCTTCATGTAGTAACGTGCTTCCGGTTCTGTGACTTTGCCACGGTACTTCAGCACGTGCATCAAGCTCTGCCAGAGAATAAGAGGAGAAGATGGTATTTTTATATCCGGATAGCTTACTTCGTGCGTTTAATGACGTGCAGAAAGTCGCCTGACGGAAGAATGGCACGATAAAACGTAACGAGAACTATTATATAGATTTTTTATTTACTTTATACTCTTTACTTTTTCTCTCTTTACTTTTTCTTTGTGTCTGCAATCTTATAATCTTTGAAGACGATACAATGGACTGTAATAAACGTAATATTACGAAACCTATAACGAAATTTCAAGAAAGTAACTATATATTACACAGGAGATTGTGTAATGGCCACTTATAACTCTTTTAAAAAGAGAACAAACAAACGAGAAGAAAGAGTTTCCTGGAAGGAAGATAGTCATCTCGAATGTATGGAATGCAAGTGCATTTTTGGAAGAACGTTATTCTGTAGCTTGCGTGTCGCTTTATTTTGGAGGAATCGTTTTATCTGCGATTCAGTAGAAACATTTCGGGAAAGCGCATCTGCATTTTTCACGCCAGTCACGATCATAAACTTGCTAACTTGTGGTGGACGTTATTTCTTTAAAATGCAAGCCTTCGACAAAATGAGATGACTTTATGAGGCTATTTTGCGAACACGACATGGAAACATGAACAAATTTTTCCCGTTAAATGTTACGAGATACGAAATATTCTTCTTTATGAGTTCCTCAAAACTACAGTTGTTAGATTTCAGCGCAATTTTTTTAACGACACGTTACTATTACTTTCACTATAGATTCACAATTAAATGTTTTCTAGATCTAATTTAAAAATAATACAATAAATTTTTTTTTAATGATGGTTTACCATCTGGATTAAAAGGTATTTTAATAAAAAGTAATTTTTTATTAAAGTGTAATTAAATATTTATTAAGTAGTATTTTCTCAATCTATGCTCTAATAGAAATGTATAGAAATACGTTATAAAATAACGGCAAAAATCTCAATTTTTTTATATAAGTACTTTAATATTCAAAATAACTTATGTAAAGTTACATTGCGATGTAAAAGTTAGTTGTCCGGTTGTAAATTTTAATTGATGGTAAATTGTAATAAAGCTTTGCACAAATAATTTTGAATAAAGGACTTATTCAAAACCACTTTGATTTTTTAATTATGATTTCTTTAAACTTTAGTTTATTACAATAAAAATAATAACAAATAAAGTAAGTAAATTGTAAAAATGTGTTGTACAATAAAAAATAGAATATTGTAAACACTGCTTTCTGAAATATATAGTTTGTTTGTACAAGTATTAAGTATGTGCTATATATGTCTATCGAACCTCTTTAAGGAATTTCTGATAGAGACTTTTAATCACTTAAATCGTCAATCAAGAGATGATCCTTTTGCGATCCAGCAGCGAACTAAGATGAAATTCGCGTTCGTAAAGGCGATTGAGCGAGAGAGCGAGGATAATCAAACGATTAGTGGATGCTTCGTCGCATCCTAACGGTACAAACAGGTCGGGCACATCAGCCATGAAGAGTGCAAGTGCCGCTCTCTTTCCAGCGAGATGAAAATATACGCGGCTGTTGCTGATCAAGGGCCAGTTCGCAGACAGGTACGATGGATATCCATAATTGTTTCTCGGGTACGGCGTGCAGAATGACTTCGACACGTCGATTTAAGTCGGGCAGGTGTTTCATGGCGCAATAGAAATAGACTAGAACTTGGAAAACAACTTTACGAGAAGGGAACGGCAGACAAAGATGTTAAAGACGCCCAAGTACAGGACGAAGGATAAAATAAGGAAACAGGCCTCTTTATCGATGCTCCAGTTGTCAATATCTATTGGCAGTTTAAATCATTTACGAGACAACCGAGTGTCGGTCGTTGAGTTTTTCCCGGCATAGATGTGTTCTCGGTCATAAATGTGGAAAGAGTTGCGAAATTCTTCTCTCGTACGCGTAGTAGGAAACAATAAACCGGTAAGGCAAGTAGAAGATATACGATACCTTTCGTGGACAGGCCTCTAGGAGCATGTACACGTTGAGATTGTCCTCGAAATAATGATGCATCTGGACGACGTTAACGTGATTCAGCTCTTTGTGAATCATGATCTCACGCGCGATCTACGAATAGCATAAAAACACGCGTTATTCAGCGAAATAAATATAAATGCGCGCTTTCCACTGAACAAATATAATACGCACCTTCTGCATGTGGATCCTCTGCATTCGATTCTTCGGAATAATCTTACACGCGTACTGATTCCCATTACTGACATCGGTCATTAGGTAAACCCTCGCGAATCCACCCTAAAAACCATGACATAAACCATTTATCAATTAATTGATATAATCCTATTTTCGGTCTTAGTGCTTAATAATACTAAATGTAAATTTTTGCAAATATATTATTTCAGTTTTATAAACTGCATAATTGATACGGTTTGTCGAACTTGAAATTAATATCCCAAGTTAGATCGATCATCCATTTTAATGCTAATAAGCATCTTAAAAACCTGTAAATAATTTTTGCGAAAAATATCTCAACCAGGACTACTTATGACATGGATCAACTATAATCAATCAATTCGCAATGAACATTTGACTCTTGAAAGAATCAAAGCGACACAACGCGATCTTTATCAATATCATTTTTGCGACCACGTGATCCGTCTCTTTCGCGAAGAAGAATAATAGCCGCGTCCTTCTTCCCAGTCCTAGAATTCTCAAATTAGATTCCAAGAATTTCTCCTCGTTCATCTTCGATCATCCGTCGATGGTCTTAGTGAAAGGTTCTCTGCACGACCGCTTTCGGTCTTAAAGTAATCTTCTGAAATTATCGTTTATTGCCTCCGCGCAGTCGAAAGAATGAAAAAAGAAAGTGAAGGGAATTTCTTTTTACGCGAGATATTATTCTTTGCGGCTTTTGACAATCACAGAAGTCTTTCAAATAGCGCATGGTATGAATGGAACACAAAGTAAACGTGTGACGATAGAAGAAAGGACGTATCCTTTTTACTAAAGATAATATTTCCAATTTTATAACGTTTTAAGCTACAAAATACGAATCATTGCGAATTGGTACAAGGAGCTAAAAAAAATTTTTTATACTTAGAAATAGACCATTTTGTTAGCGAAACAAAACAATTACATAAAAATAATATACATATATCTTTCACTTTCTACAGAATGAAATTATGTTTAGCGTTTTTGAACTTCCCTAGTTTAGCAAAGGTATATAGATTTAAATTAATTGATTACTAAAATCGCGCGCTCTGAAAAAATGATTGTTACCATGATTGGCCATGGTGTGGCGAAAAGTGCACAAATGACGAAATTAGTCTTTAATCATAACCTGCTTTATACAAGTCGAATTTCTGTTACGAGAAGACCCACCATCTTTGACAGCTGCACGAAACGCTCTTCGAAAAGAATACTTATTTTGTAATGGCAACCAAATTTTACATTGGTATTTACAAAACGTAAGTAACCAAATAAATTTGTACTGTTAAATAAAAAAATTTACAGTCATCTAACAAGAAAATATTATATTTCGCCATTTTAACAAAATAATTCAATGATAATCGGCACTTGTAAATAATGTCTTTTTTTTTGTTACCATTACTATAGCTTTTTTCTCAGTGAGGTGTTAAGAGGTGTTAAGAGAAGTCGAAACTTTCTTCCCAGCAGTAAAACATGTATATTTCTTTAGCCTATGCACAACGAGCACCATTGAAATCTTTTAGTATACCCTGCGAAGGGTGTAAACCTGGTTGCGATCAATAATGTCGGAAAATTGCGTCAATAAACTACTTACTACGTAATGCTATAACAATAAGTGCACATACAGAAAAACGATGCTCGCGAAAAGAAAGAAGCTGAAAGAAAAAATATTAGAAAGAGTTGCTAAAGTCTTTGAAACTGGCTTTAACATGGATATATATTTTTGCCCTTCCCCTTTGACTGAAATTCTACATAGGTCCATGAGGTGCGTTCACCTTTTCCCCCCCACCGAGATCTTCCGACAAACAATGCGGCCACGAGAAAATCGTAAATTCGAAGCCGGCTCTGTTTTCCGAAATAGCTCGCGTCACTGGCGCGAGAACAAACGACGGGAAGTCTCCGATCGCAATTTAACGATCACTGGCAAGAGCGAGGGAAAGAGCGTGTATTTGGTGGGGCCATTGCCAGAATAACTCACGCAAAAATATCCCAAACGAATTACGAGAGCACGTAATACGTCTCGACGATGACGTCACGCAATTAGAATTATCGCATTCGACTCGAAACGCGTTGGTCCGATCACTCACGTCAGCGACAACATTGCACGCGATCCTCGTGTATTCAGATAAGACCCGGGATAAAAATGGGGCAAAGCTAAACGCATGACCTCGGTGATGCAGATTGCAGGCTGAGGGCTGAGACTTTCGTGTCGGCCGACGCGACCCGGGTTATCCAGGTATCCCTCATTCCCTCATTCCCTCGTTCCCTCGTCCTTGCCGTGTTTCGACGATAATCCCCGGTACACAACAAACATACGGTATATCGGGGGTTCGCCCCTCCGTACGTGTACGAAGCGGTTCGTTTGTCTTTAAATATCGCTGGCAACGACTAAAAATACCTACGTCCCCGCACGCGTGCACGCGCTTTTGTGCACGCGTGCACAGTTAAATGGACCGTTGACAAAAACTCCCCGAGCCTTGTCCCCGTTTTGCATTTCGCTCCTCGCAGCTCCTCGCAGCTCCTCGGGATCGGGATCGCACCACGCGTACGCATTCTTGTCGAAATTAGCGCAGCTCGGTAACCATTCTCGATCATTTACATTGTTTTCTCTGTCAAGTAATCGAGATCTTCTTCACGCCGAGATTTTACACTACGAGAGACCCGTTTATTAAAGGAGCAATCCGATCCGATTGGAGTTAAATAACATTTTGTTATTTTTAACTTTTATGTTCAAATATAAATTAATCCATTTCTGTGATTAGTTTCGAAGTAAACATCGTCCATATTAATGTATGCATTTAAGTAAATAATAAACTAAATTTGAGGCAAATTTAATAAATTTTCATGATTTAAATTGTTTAATTATACTGTTTTAGTTAAATTAATAATATATGTTGAGCGGAGTAGCCAACTATAGAAATTATTAAAAAAAACAAATTGAGTATTATTATGAATTTAACAGGATAATAAGGAGAGAAACACACGCATGGAGAAAAATGTAAATGTATTCGAATTCTAAATTTTATGAAATTGGCGGGTCTATAGAGACAGATATACCTCATATAAAATTTACTTAATTTTTCTGGTAAATAAGTAATTTTTTTCCATGAGCGATCATTTGTATGATCTCCCTCTTTAGCCTTCCATTAGATATTCAGGGCATTCGCGAAATAATTAATCGATTGATTTGACGAGTAATTTGATAGAGGAGATTAATATATGACGTCATTTTCCGATACGTTGAGGATCCGATGTCCGTCTCGCGTGAGCGGCACATCGCTTCACGCGAAGGACAGTGATCCGTTAACTTAGCTTGATTTCCCCGGCGCGACGCGGCGATCAGTTTATCAAGAGCTTCGGCGTCTCGTCGCATCTCGTGCGTTCGTTTAGCGTGTCTCGTTGACACCGTCTCCGATCTCAAGGGTCCTCGGGGTCACTCGGGGACGCCGAAACGAGCCCTCGGGCCCTCCTCCTCAGTCCTCGCGCGAATTCAGTGAACGCTTCTCGAGGTCTCGCGCGAGATCTGTGAGCGCGACGGAGAAAACGAGCGCACCGACCGGTTTTCACGCGGCATGCAGTGCGTCATCGATTCGATTCCAGAGAAATAATCCCATTCACGCGCCATTCACTCCTCGCAATCGTCGTTGCTCGTGCAGGCATAATGGTATTCGCTCGCGCGATTTCGAACGCGCAAACCTCACCAGATCTCACCGTCTGCGTTCGTCGCGGAATTTCCTGTCCGAGGGCGAAGCCAGAGGACCACAAGATGATAATATACTGCTCGCGGCTACGCGAATCGCCGCGCTTTGTTCGCGCGGGACAGTCCATTTCATTTCTCATCGCACAAAACAGAAAAATCGAGACTCTTTCCTCGTCAATTGCATGGGACGCAAATGGAAGAGAGAATGAATTGATTTACCTAGAACATTATAGGGTAATAAATAATAAACGCTGCTGCATTAGTTGCACATATCTGCTCGTAAAAGGAGCGTCTAAATTTGGGAAAGCACGCGCTGGGTCCCTTTCTTTTCCTTAAGTGTTTTCAACGAGGCCCTGACCTGACCTTTTGTTAATCTTTCCGGCTTATCAGGCGTAGCGATGACGGGCGTCTCCTGCTTCGACGATCGATTCCTTTTATTCTTCTACCGAGAATATATGCATGGCGTCATGTAATAGTCGCAAAGTGATCACTAGGGCGTAATGTTGCACGTTAAGTGGACCTTAAAGTTGTCTGTTTTACCGATTCAATAGATATACTCACATACGATTTATGTGTCAGTGACACATTACTACACCCTGCTACGGTAATAATGCACGCACACACACGTATTATACAAATTTTTTATAACTAAGCTTTCATATCGGATATTTAAACTTAGTTCTAAGAATTTCTAAAAATTCAACATTGTTCATGTAATTCTCCTAATCCAAACTGATCGAAATTATTTTATATATACAAAATATGATACTTTTATATAAAGCTATTGTTACAAGTCGTCGATAATAAAACTGTAATTTTTTAACTTTCTTCGTTTTAAAATCGATCAGTTTGGATCATTTATACTTTGATTGTAAAAAAGGATTTTCAGATCTTTAAAGGCATTAGTCAGAAAGACACTTGTTTGAAAAATAATTGATAAAGCAGACGTTAGGATCTCTAAACTATTCTATTTGGGTGGTCCAATATGTTTCTTCAATGGATTAATATAGGAAGAAAGGGGAGTTGGGTTTTTGTCTAGCTTAAGCAAAGGCACGTGAACCGCCTCGACGAGTTCTCAACACGCCCACATTGCTCAAACAGCACTAATTCGACATGACAATTCGCGACGATAACAGCTCCGTTAACCCTAGTTAAAAGTTAAGTAACGTTAAGATACTTTTGGAGTTACGTCAGAAACATTTTATTCCTAGCAAATGTAGGAGTTACTTTTTGAGTTACGCATGATATGTTCTTTCCTGCTTTCGTTACTTCGCGTAACGAAGGCAGATTTGTATCAGAACCGAAGGTTTCTCGTCTCAAGTCTCACCTGACATACACATTGCAACATGGAAAATTGATCGAAAACTATTTAAACTCAATTTTAACC